CACATCAGTTTGTTCCTAGGGCTAGTCGCAGACTTTCCAAGTAAATCCAGGGTTCGTGTCAGGGTCAGAGATAAAATGGTGAGACCAATCGTTCTGGATGGTCTGTGACACACAGAAGAAGCTAAACTCATTTGGGCTGATGAAGCTTAATGCTGAAAATTTGCAAAGAGCCAAATGGGAGCAAAACATTTGTAACTAATGCACTACTAAGTCAGCCCTCAGACAGACCTGTGAAATTATCTACAGTCAGTATCAAATTAGTGAACAGTGTCAGAGATCAGAGGATCTGTGTAGGCAGAAGACCAGAAGTAGATTTGACCCACAGTCAGCAGAACAGGCATATGAGAGCTTTTCTTTCCACAGTTCTGCATTAATTCATTCAGTGACAAATATGTCAGTTGACTAAGTGAGCTGTTATTAGAATAGAATGTAACAGCAAATCTGGGAAATCCTCCCAAAGCAACTATGGCTTTAGAATCCCAGATTTGCGTTTCTAATTAAAACGCTGTCAGTTTAGGTGTAATTCTCCATATGAAATGCATTTGGTAAGAGGGAAGGGAGAAGTGGAAGAGGACTGAGGCGCTGCTTTTTCACCGATGTTTACTTTGTATTTTTCTGATTACATCATTAATGTTTTTTTTTTTAAAGTGCATGATGCTGCTTCTATTAAATTGTAATGCAGAGGCAAAAACCTGTTATTTGTTCCAACCTTCTGCAAGGGATAAGATCAAAGAGCAAATTGTTTGATCAAGGATTGTATTTTGTTTAAGAAATAAGAGATTATAGCTGCGTGATTCCCTTTTCTCTGTGAAGAATCCATCAATGCTAAGGCTAGAACATGATAAAAATCACTGCATGAGAACAAAGGGAACTTACAATTCTTTTCTGTTTTCTACTGACGAAACGATGTTGCTTTTGTGAGAAGTGGAAAAAAAACATTTTGCCTAAGTGAGAAAATGAAAATTATTAATTTCATCTTAGTCACTTCAGTTTTTCCATTACGCAGATATAAAATTATACATTCCAGAACTACCTTCTAAATGATACGTGTGGTAGGTAAGAGTTCAGTGTGTTATAAAAGCAGAAAGACGAGTGTGAGCAACGAGAAAGGAGAAACAGAATTGTTTACTATGTCAAAATTATACCTTTCAGAAACAAAACATTAACTCATAGAAAAATGCAAAGCTTGGATGGACTCAAACCAACCATTTTCAGAATACTACTTTTAGAGGGCATTTGCAACCATTATCTTTTCATTCTAATTGAGAATATTAAGGTTTAATTTACCATTTCAGAATTTTCCACTGTACTGAATTTCTGGTTCCCAACCACCTATAATTTTAAGTAGATTGTACACCACAGATAATGAGGCGGAGTATTCACCACTTGTTTCTGCAAGAGTGCTGTTGGAAGAGAGCGTTTCATTCTTGCTTTTGTGAGGGGCAGGCAGAACCCCAAGTAAATCTAGGAGAAGATGGGAGATGATTTTAGCAAGCACAAGCAGGGCTAGAAGAAGAAACTAAGAGGTCTTAATTTGGGCTGTGTAAGAAAGAACAGTATGGGTGCAGATGTAATTATATGGATGGAAAAGTGTACAGTCGAGTCCATCTAGCTGTTTCATGGCTTTACACATCCCAAAACTAGCCAGTTACTAAAGCCTCTTATCACTGTTATCCTTTCCTGTTTTAGTTTGATTTTTTTTAGGTAGTGCTTTTCTCTGGTATTACTATGGTGACGAATGAGAGTAAACCCAAATGTCTAACAGACAAATTTAAACATCATAGCTATGGGATATCTTTAAAGTACTAAGCAGTATGTTCCATCTCACTTTAGCTCTGCAGAGGACTGAGGCACAAACTCATTTCCATGTGGCAGAGAGCTGATTGCCTCCATGTTACGCTTGGATGAGTACGTGGATATGTCAGTTCTCAACGCAAGGGAATTTAAACCCCATACTGCCCATTAGTGAAGAGAAATGAACTTTGCTAGGTCATTTTCTGTTTCTTCGTTGTGGAGTGAGATGTTCAAACCTTAAAAGTGACTTAAAAGTACAAGGTACAGCTACTCCTCTGTGACCGCTATTAGTAGAGCACAAACATACCACAAAGTACCAGCTTTCTACCAGATTTTAGCTCCCAAGTGCCAAAGTCACTTCTAGAAATGGAACATCACCTCTTAAATCACAACGGCACTTTTGCAAATGCTTCCCAGGATGGGAGTGCTGCTGCTCTCTCGCTTGATCTGCAGGGGTAACAAAGCAAGATTGCCATGAATGCCTTTCCAACCACTTACTTTCGGTAAGCACTCATGGGTGTTGGCTTAAAATCTGAATAGTATCGTGGTTATCCAGAGAAATCCAGTTTTTCCTGTTTAACCTGTGTCCACTGCTATCGAGCTATGGAGATATTGCATGGGATCACATCTCCTTGTGTAGTGTTTCATAGTGACTATTCTTCTATTTCCTCTTGTATTGCACTAGACTCCAAGAGATTCCCCCAGCAGCCAGAGCTCCCTTGTGTTAGATGCTGCACAACCATGGATTGAAAGGACGATGTCCTTAAGAACCCGTATTCTAAGTGATTTCTCTGCTGTATGTTTACAGCAGTTTAAATTCACAGCTTCTAGCTTCAAGTCAGTCTAGCAACGAGGGCAGACATTGCCCATTAGCAGTGTATGCAACACAGAATTATGCACGTGAAGCCTCAGCCATGCTTGCAGTCACAGCAAGCTGTTTATCTCCTCTTCTTTCCTCCACTGTCTATGAGGTTGAGCACTCACCTACTCATAGCATCTCACTTAATGAGGAAAACTGACCAGCACTAGCAGTAGACAGAGCCCAAATGAGACGATGCATGATGGGCTGCACATCCTTTCCTGACTTGCTCCCATGGGAAAGAATCACCTACCCCCTCTCCCTGCTTCCTCAGCCCTTCATGTTGCTCCCTGTCTGAATACCCTATAGTTACTTTTTCATGCTGTCAATGCCAGGTGCAGGGCTGGGAAGCTTAAGCCATCTGCAGCTGACAGCAGGCAGTCCCTGTGGGATAAGCCAATAATGAATACTGCTCGGATTCAGAGGGTCTAGAGGCAGGAATCCGGCTGCCTGCTGCTGAAGGTATTGAAACAAGCCACAGAAATATCCCAGCTTCATCAGGAAGGAAAGGCTGTATAATTTGCAGCTGGAGATGAATGTGATTATTTGCCATGCAAATGGATTTTGCCAGCTCAAAGTGGCCTTCATCAGCAGAGATTGTTGTATCTGACATTATCCGGTTACTTTTGTTTAATGCTTCTGCGCCTTTTCTGAGCGCTTCCTTCCCTAAGCACACATCATCCAGACTAATTAGAGACAGGTATTTTTTTCCTCTTCCCCATCAATCCGAAGACATGTGAGCCGAATCCATAGCCGCCTCCCTCTCCGGTCCCTCTCCAAATACGAAACTCAAGGTAAATATGTTTGTGCTGTCAGCCATCCGCTCTGGGTATTCTCCACAGATGGTGACATTTACTTCACCTAACTTCAGCTTCTTGAAGATTTGCTGTCTTGTCCAACCACGTGATTCTGGATCTTTCAAAACTCAATAGAAACAGAGGTCTCCAGAGGACCTCCTTCTACCTGGGATAGATGGGGTGAATCATGCATGGGGGTCCCTGTTCATCTCCATGGGTTGTTTGTTGACGTCTCTCTTGGAGAGTTGAAGATATGGTGGAAGAACAGTGCCTAGCTTTCTGCTTTTCCAGCACTGTATGAGATGCTGCAGCACAGAGTATGCAGCATTGGTCTTATAGCTGGAACAATGCCTGTGGTCAGCAGACCTGAAAAATGAGAGCTCTCCACTCTGCCCCATGTGCTGTGAATGCAAGTGTGGGAGCTGATGCCTAATTTCTGCTAGGCAGTGATCTCAAATTTTGGTCTGAAGAGCTTTTGGGATGGGTTGGTCTAAGTGAGGGGATTACCTGATGTCTGAAGGAGCAGATCCCAGCGCATCAGCAGCGCTTCAAACCAGACTGGACAAACTAGAAGTGTGTAATCTCTATAAGTCTTGCAGCTGGTGGGCTGTGTGGGCTTAGTCTCTTTCCAGCTCTAATTTCAGTGATTAGCAGTATGGAATTCTTTTCTCATTAGAGCAAAGAATACATAGAGCATGTAGGTTTGTCTGTCAGGTTGTGTTAACCCACAGTAAGTCACTGCAGTTTCACACAGACCCAGCACAGCATGACACATGCTGTCATGATCTGGTCCAGTGCCCTGAGCTAGAATGAGAAATCTCCATTACCATCTGATAAACCTGGGGATTTGACTCAGGGGATTGACTCAGGTCAGCAGAAAAGCAACACTGAGACATGGTCTCCCACAGAGAAATGAAGTGGTTGTTATGGACAGGAGCTCCCTTGTCAGAATGTCTGGCTTTATAAAACAGCATTGTAAGTTATCCTCCACTGGGAATGATGCTCTGCATGTAGAGAAGGAGAGTATAAATAATTTAGGCAGAATGCATGAATTATGACATGGCTCTAAAAAATATCTTTTACTCCTTAATATGATTTGAAAAGATTTTCATATAAATTAATGCTTTCTTGACTTATCTCTATGGCTATCCAATGGTTACAGATAATTGGGTATTTGATAGCAGCTTGTGCAAGATGCTTAGAATTTAAGGCATTATTAGGAACATCTTGTCTAGCCCTCTGCTAAGAACAAACCAGAAGATGTTGGTAGGCAAATTATTCATTAAGGCTGTAGTTCCTCTCTGAGATTCAGCATCTCTTTTAGAAATGTGGAGTTTTGATGGAGGAACTGACTTGGTGAACCCCACTGGTCTGTATTTGTGGTTCTATCTTCAGTACATTGAGAACTGAGTCAGAGCCTTGGCTTCCCTAGAAGCAGCTGGAGAGCATGACTTAAGGAGAACACCTGAGTAAATGACAGGCCTGCAAGAACAAGCTGCACCTTTTGGACCTTCACACCCCTCCTGTCTGCCTCTCTCCTTTGTGTGCAGGTCCCTCTCCGGCCGCATAGTTGGTGGTGTCTGGTGGTTCTTCACTTTGATCATCATATCCTCCTACACAGCTAACCTGGCTGCCTTCCTCACAGTGGAAAGGATGGTTTCTCCCATCGAGAGTGCAGAGGACTTGGCCAAGCAGACGGAAATCGCCTATGGGACCCTGGAAGCTGGCTCCACTAAAGAGTTTTTTAGGGTAAAAAGGAAACTTTAATGCAAAAATTTTGCTTAGCTCCTTGTTGGCAAGTCTTCCAGGAATGTCCTCTCTCATCTTCAGCACAGGTCTGTTTTTCTCTCTTGCTTCCCCTTGCCATGTTAGCACCTGCTGTGCTTGCCCCTAGAACAGCAGAAATCTGCTTTCCCTTTGGCTGCTCAGATGGCTGACTGTGTCACTTGTGATATTCTGCAACTGTAAATAGAAATGTGGAATATCTGTGTGCTTCCCCACACTACAGGCATCTCCTAACTTCCAGCTTGATTAGCCTTTGGTTTGATCAATAAAATCACTTGCCAGGCACAGATATCCTGCCCTTCCTGCAGCAAGGTGGTAGGGTTGACCTGGGTGCAGGAAATGGCCGGAGGTTCATTAACATCCTGTTACATTGTTTGTAATGGTCCATCTGCTCTGTGGGTAAGTGTTCGGTCTCACCTGGAAATCCCAGCTGGCACCCCAACCTCTGTTAACACTTCTGTTGGGTTTGTGCTGTCCTACGCAGCGATCCAAAATAGCAGTGTTTGAGAAGATGTGGACATACATGAAGTCAGCTGAACCCTCCGTTTTTGTGAGGACAACAGAAGAGGGGATGATCCGGGTGAGGAAGTCGAAAGGAAAGTATGCCTACCTCTTGGAGTCCACCATGAACGAGTACATCGAGCAGCGGAAGCCCTGTGACACCATGAAGGTGGGAGGTAACTTGGACTCCAAAGGCTATGGCATTGCAACGCCAAAGGGGTCTGCACTGAGGTAAGTAGCTTGGATTTGCTTTCCTTTGCCAACCCACCCAGCAAATCAATGTATGCACACAGTTCGGTCTCCATTGCCATGCTGATCATGAAAGCTTGGGGCAACAAGGTGGGGGAGGCAGAAGGAAGGGGGTACAAAAACTGATGTGCAGGGAAATAAAGTGCCATTGCTGCTCAGTGGGAGCACCTAATCATTCAAGCCCTGCATTTAGAAACTGGATCTTGGCTGATCCACTTGCTATGAATGTGTCTGCTGAATTAGGTGATGGCAGGGGGGCTGCTGTGATGTAACCATTGGTTTCACAGAGCGTTATCTGAATGGGGCTCTCATCCTGTGCCATGTGAAGTGCAGAGCTTTGCAGAGAATGGTATAACCCTGGATTGGATCCATGCTTGCAGAGGGAGCTCTGAGGGGAAAATATTTTGGTGTTTCCTAAAAGGAATTGCTATATGGGAAGAGTGAGAAGCCAGTTTTAAGAATTCCTGCAAAAAAAAAAAAAGTGCACATTTTCATTTACTGAGTAATCCAGAGCCGGATTTTGGCAAGCACAAAATTTAAGGTCAAAGGGCACAAATCCTGTATTTCTGAGCCCAGGCCCATATCTCTCACATGCCTTTGCCAACTGTCACGTGGAGTATCTTCAGAGACTTTCCTTTGAAAGGAAAACACTTGAAAAGCACACACCCAGATTTGAGTTAATAGCAAAGCTTGGGCACTGCACGTTGCCATGCTCCTTGATGTGTGAGCAGGCCACCTGCAACGTGCATTATGCCTACTTACCTGCTCCCAGAGGCACCACCACAATCTGCAAACTTGTATGGTGATCTGAGTTGCACTGGAGGCGTGGTTCCTTTCAGAAATGGAAAGCAATGCAATTTCTTCATCTTATGTTCATGAAGAATATGAGTCTTAAGGGTTTAGTAGGATCGGTAAATCCTCAGATGTCATAAATGGTTCAACTGATTTAGTTATTTATTAAAGGTATTTTGATCAAAATACTTTGACCAAAATCATATGTGTGGCCTTATGGTTGCTTGTGGTGAAACCCAGTGTAGAGACACAGCCCAAAAGATGAAAGCCAAGCCAAGTGGTAGTGGGTTAAGCCCAAGGATCTGGGCTACTGCATTTAACAAGTCAGGTCAAATTGAATTCAACACTTCCCATATCAGCAATTGCTGGAAGCGTCTTCAGAAAAGTTCATAAATGCAATGCAGGTTGTCCAGAAGGTGATTCTTGCATTCAGAGTGGTTCAGGCTCTGAAGTGCCTTGGAGCCCTCCAAAGAGAATGCATCTGTTCTCGTAGTTTTTAGATGTTTTCCATCACATTCTTGCCACTGTTTGTTTTGTCTTGCAAATATGGAAATTAGGATGCAGATCTCATTATTTTTACACAGCAATCTTGTAACCTAATTTTTATATTATAAAAACAAACAAACCGGAACATCCTACCTGCCTTGTAATTGTTGGCGTGTGAAGGAGCCATTTATCATAATTCTAAGAGAAATAAGAAAAAAGGGAAAGAAAATTGCATCAGTCATAACAATTTTGCAGCTTCAAGCATCCCTCTGCTAGGCATGATTCCAAAACTTCCTAACATTTCTTCTTGTTTCCTCTTCTTCATCCCGACTGCATGTAGAACAAATATCTTATAGGCCTAATGGCAAAGGAGAAATGCTTGATGTTCCATTCTATGGTGTTTCTTTGGAAGAGTTGCTGTTAGGTTTTGTCCCATCATGTTTGTTTTGTTCCTGTTGTTTCAACTGTTTTAATCTTAGTAAGTTCCATATGGTCTTCATGTAGTGTCTGTTTTCCCTTTGGGGTCCTGCACGTGAGAGATTGCCCTGAGCAAGGTGGCATTCATGAGGCATCTGTTTAGCACGGTCAGCATGTCTCTTACTCAGGCTTCATCTTCACTCACATCAATCCACAGAGTAAAAGCTCTGAGCCAGATTTGGAGGTACATGTGAGCCAGGCCTATCTTAGATTGTTGTTTAGAAAGTGGGCTGCATTTTGATTTTTGCTGTGACCTGTCACTTTTGTAGATATGCAGGTTTTCCTGGATTTAGTACAGCTGATTAGGAAAGGACCCCAGCAAGATGCTAAATGAGAGCTCTTCTTTTTTATCTTACTCCTACTTGGAGAACAAAATGCCAGTATATTGCCACTGATGTGTGAAAAGAAGGTTGAAAAAGCAGAAATAATTATATGAGTTGTAATGGGTGCAGATTTCCCTCCTAGGCCATCAGTTAGTTTTCTTGGGCTGCTGGAAGTTTTTTCCCCTGAAGTAAACCTGGCTTTGAACATCTTTTGGTTTCCAAACATTACAGTTCAGTTGCGATAATCGTGTCTGAGAAGGGCTATGATGATCAGAAGTGACACTTTCCAACACCAGCATGTGATCCTGTCTCACATGAGATAGTCATGCATCTGCAAAATCTATTCACTTGCCTGGCAGGAGCTCTTCTCCCCTGCTGGACAGGTGATCAGGAAGAGATCAAAAAGCCAAGTCCTCCAAAAGAGAGGAAAGAAAACTCAAGAAATCCAACTTGAATCTGGTCTCAAGGAGTAGGGAAGTTTTAGAGATGTAGGCAAAGGAGAGCAAATTCTTCTTTGCAGCCAGCCTGATAGCAAAGCTCCCCAGAAATGCTATGAATGTGAGTTGGTTTCTTTAGGGCGTGCGAACAAACACCAAATGTTCTCTGTTAAAATAAAAACACCTTAAGCTTTTTTTCAGGACCCCAGACCTCTAAGTCTTTCATCACGATAAAATTCTGTATGATTTATGTACTGCCCA